CATAAATAAAGCTGTGATGCATCAGTTACCCATTTTTGATTAGAACCAACCTTCAGCCAAATGTAACTTGTGAACTGGGCTCAAGTTCTCTCCTCTGCCATTTGGCCTAAAGGAACACTTCCCTCCACTAGCTGTAGATGTGAATTGCAGCAGAGTCATCAGTGTAATAGAAATGGTTGACAAGTTATCTGTCTTACTGTTTATGTAATGTAGTTTTTTCCTTCCAGACCTGTTCCAACTTAATCCCAAATATACAATTTTATTGTAGTACTTTGGCTCTCCACTGTGCCCACTTAACCGTATGGTTTTGTGAATTTAACAATTTCCAGCTCAAGACGGCCTCTGTCAGTCTCATCATCACTTTGTGTCCCAAGATCAGCCTCTGAGACCTTAAAGTATGATCCTGGTCTGGTTTTCTCGATAGTAAGCAGCTGCAAGTGATGACAGTCTTCTCAAAATTTGCAAAATCTGCTAACGTGTTATTTCATACTTGCCTAAGTTAGGAGTGAGGTGCCCTTAGCTTATAAGTTTCCTCTTACAGGGCTTCCATTGCAGTTAACATAAGCCAGTTCACTTCAAACTCCTTAAAATGATTCCTGCCCCAAGCCTTTCAAGTGACACAGCTGCCATATATCCTGATGACTAACTTTTAAAGCTTAATTTCATTCCAATTAATAATTGTGATGCTACCATATGATAGATGTTATCACTGCCCCACTGATAATGATGTCATCTGAACAGGGAGAAATCCATCCCAATGTCCCATTCTGAGGGCCTGTTTTTGAATTTCATTCCCCAGAAAGTAGAGGCAGGGACTTGTATGCTACTTCTTTATAAGGGAGTATAGTTTCGTTGAACAAAAGTAAAGAAAAAGTGGACTGAAGCCCACGGTCTTTTCACAACTCTATCCTCTCTCATTGACCTTTTCAAGTGATCTTATAATTCATTGTTTTATGCCTTCCTCTAGACAGTATTGCAAGCCCCTTGGAGGCAGGAACCTTGTCTTGTTCATGGCTATAGCCCAAGCACCAAGCACAATGCCTGGGTTGTAATGTTCAATAAATAGTTGTTGAGTGAATAAATACTGGGGCTCTGTTCAAGGTTTTGAATGAGTAGTATTATAAAGTAGAATGTTGACATAGGAAAAATGTGGGGCCAGAGGATAGCCATGTCCCAGGTCTCAACTAAGTCCCTGGTACACGATCCACCAAGTGTGGGCCCTTGGTTTTGTGCAGGAAAGGATTTCAAGAGCGAGCCACAGCTGAGTAAAGGTAGGTTTATTTAGAGAGATACATACTCTAGAGACAGATACATACTCTAGAGACAGAGTGCAGGTTGTTTCAGAAGGCAAGATAAAGGCCATGAGGTATGGGGTTAAGAACTCAATTTAAAGTAACAGTACTTACACACACTATAGACAGAGTGCTGTCCGTCTCACTCCGAAGAGAAAGTAGCCACTAGGTGTGCGGGTTGTTAGTTTTTATGGGCTTGGTAACTTCATATGCTAATAAGTGGGAGGGTTATTCCATCTACCTTGGGGGAAGGGGCTGGGGATTCCCAGGAACTGGGCCATCACTCACTCTTTGACCTTTTGTGGTCAGCCTTAAAACTGCCCTGGCACCTGTGGGAAGACCATTTAGCAGCTATTGTATTTCAATGAGTGTATATTGAAGCTCAAGGTCTACTGGGAGTTCAATCTTCCACCATCTTGGTGCTAATTGCTGTGTCATTCTTGTAATGGTTGTGCCCTGCCCCCTTCCTTCCTGTCTCTCCATGAGCCTCCCTTGTGTGGGCAGAGAACCATGGTGAGGACACAGCAGGGTGAAGTTCAGCCACAGAAACTAGAGCTGGGATGGAGCCAAATTCCTGTAACAAAGGAGTCTGGCAAAAATCGAACCCTGGTGTTTATTTAATGCAAAATAGTGAGAGCCAGAAAATGCTCCTTGTGTCTTGTCTTCTCTCATCTCTTATTAAAATAGAGGTGGGTGGGCTGTGGGCAGCAACCGGAATGCTTGGGGGTTCCTTGGGAAAGATAAAAAATCAAGGGAAAGAACTCATAAGTTACTCTGGAAGATGAGTTCCTAGAGCTGGTGGAGACTTTTGATGCTAATAAAAAACATGTCAAAAAAGCTCATGAGACCTAGAGCTGTGTTTGGTCCTGCTGAGAACCAAACCACTCTGTTTAACTTGCTTTGCCAGGGGAATGAATGTTGTTCGTAGTGAGCTCACTGGAGAAATAAACCACTTTTAACTTTTTTTCAAACTTTCTGTGGCTAAGGATTGTTGCCACCAACCTCTCTGTGAGGCACACAAGCCGACAGAACCTCCCAGCTAGAGCTGTGCCATCGCTCTTGCAGGCTAGTGCTGCAGAAGTGTCAGAGCAGGCCGGTAGCTGGATCTGAGCTAGATCTGACAAATCTCTAGTGTCCAAATGTAACTTTTTGCTCATTACGCCCTCATTTGATTGACAAGTGCCACATTTCCCTGTGCTCAGTAGTTTCTTTATAAAATTGTCTAATCTTATTAACAGCATCACAGATTCCTTTCACCAGATAAAACAGATTAGAAGTATCCATCACACACTGACGCCATGGCTCTTCTGATCCAGACTAAATAAGGACAAACCTGCCCCCTCCCCACCTTTGGGAAGGTGGAGTTAGAATGAAAATCAGGAAATAGGACCCCAAGCCCTTTCCTCCCCCATGAATCCCTTCCCTCCTCAATGAATATTCTGCCCATCCATCTCTACACTCTGTGTAACCAACTTACCTAAGAAACTCAAGGCAGCTGCTCACCTGAGCCTGCCTACTCTCCCCCCGAGACTGTACTATCTATCCTTTAATAAATCCCCACTGTACTGTCTCAGCCTTCGTATCTTGTCTCTGAATTCTTTCTTGGACAGGGCGAGAACCTGGACACTGCTCACATCTACCAGCAGCTAAAGTACATCAGCTTAACTGCCATGTTTAAATGGGATAGTGCCTCTCTTCCGTGACTGCATCCTATGGTTCACATGACAACTCCCTGATGATGCAGGTTTTAAAACACGTTTGTCAGTGTTTACTAAAGAGACATTTACCGTCAAAGTCTGAATAGAAAGAGTTGTGTTTATTGACCAGGCTTTGAGATGTGATATTGCAGGTGAAGTGCCCACTTTTTCTGGCTTGCTATAAATGGACTAGGACAGACAAACAGAATGCTGAGTTCTCTCCTTGTGAAAAGTTCTAGGACTCACCCCTTTCCTCTTCCATCCCACCTGTACTCCCACAAACTGGATTAGTCAGCATTTCCTATCCTCTTGTTCTTCCTTCTGCTTTGACTTCCGATGCTATCAGACTGTATTCTTCCTCTGTAGATCCTAAATTCTTTCAGCTTTGGACCTCTGCCTTATTCATCATTGCATTCTCCATATCTGGTGTGTTCACTGTGGATACACAGATGCTCAGGAAATACTTATTGAGAAAATAAAGGAATGAGCCTCGTGTATATCGAGCCGTGATGACTTTTGCAAATGCACTCAATATTAATTTTCCCCCTCACCTGCAGAGGTTGCTTTTGTGCAGGTCTCCTCTAAGGACCTTCTAACTGGTTACCTGATACAGGGCTTTATTTCTCTGGTCTCATGGCTTTGATCCTTGCGATCTCTATTTAAATGTGTATTCCATTCTGAGATATAATACTTTAAGCTCCTGCTTTTCAAAAATTTTAACAGCAGAGTCCTGCTGCTCTGGCTGAAGTGAATGCTACTTGCTCAAAGGACTTAAGTTTACAAAGTTTAGCTGACTCACTGCTTTTTAACAAATTGCCTGTCCTGTTAATATATACACCAATGACCAGGGATGATACTTAAAAAGAAGTCTCACAAAAGGATGGGTGAATGGATTCCAGGTTGAGGAGAAGGGCAGGATGGAAGCAGAATTTCAAGCTGAGGTCTGTACTATTCCTGCTTCTCTTCCCACAGCTCTACACTACCAGGCGAAAAGCCTTCTCAAAGATGAGCAGCCTGGGGTTTCAGAGGAACTCAATAAACTTGTCATATTCCTTTCGAAGCTTCAAAAACAATGACCAATTTACAACCATAAAGTTTTCCAAAAGTTTATCGGTAACTTAGGGTGCTTAAAATTCAATATGCATTTTGTCTGGAGGAGTAGTTTATCTGTCTTGGTTAAATTCTTATACCTCTTTATCCTTCTAAATGCCAGAAGTGCAGCGCTGCTCACACAGCACCATAGAACCTCAGCGTGTGGAAAACAATGGTCACGCTGTCAATGAATCTAGGTCTCTTCCATGCCTCCCACCTTCCCACTCACTCACCATCAGGGAGAGAATGATTCTTGGTGGCAGTGCTCTGATATCCACAGGGCAGAGGGTAGAGGAGGGTGGGTCTAAGAAAATGAAAGACTTGAATGGGAATGCTGACCAGTGAGGAGTGAACCCTTGAAAATCAGGAGCTTTGAACTTGCAAAGAAGGAACAGGGAGGAACAGGATCTCTTTCTCCAAATCTTTCTAATTTGGCCAGGTCAGGTGATAGTTTTTATTATTTCTTTTTTACTGAAGACCTTGAGAAATTAATAATTTCACTTTTTTTGCTTGTATTTTGAATAATCACTCATTGTCAGACAAGACTTGCCTCAAATTGGAGATAATCTCTCTCTGTCTCTCTCTCCTTCTCGCCTTCTCTTTTTCCCTGTCTCCACTTTCTTCTCCCTCTCTTTTCTTTTACATTTTAGGTTGCCCTAGGTACTTTTTTATTCATAACGTGTGGAGTGCCATTTGTAATTCTGGAGTAAAAAGGTAGGGCTTAATAAAGATTTGTCAATACCTATGAAGATAAACATTCAATGTGAATTGAATGTACTGAGGAGCCAGAACCACGTTCTTTGGAGGCACCAGGTCTCAGGTGCAGCTGAAGGACAGCAGTGGAAAATTAATGGGGATGCAGCTTATCTCATTTTCTTACTTTTTCTAGCCTCCGACATCTAGTCCATGCCCATGATTGTGAATGTTTCCTATAAATCCAGAGAAGAGGTAAGACTGGAAGTTCCGGAAGAGAGTATACATTGGAAGAGAGGAAATATATCACACCAGGCATTGTCTTGTGGAAAGAGTAGGGAAAAATAATAAAAAGGAGGCTATTGGAAGACAAAAGCAGATTTTCCAGAGGCCATTGGTCATTCTTGGTTGATTATTTGTGTATAATGGACAGTTAAGCCACCTAAGTCAAGGACTGCCTGAATACATCCTAAAGGCAGCAATGGCCTACTTCATTAAATGCAACACAATGTGCTTGGACTACTGTGTCAGAATAGAAAAGTAACCGCTAGTCTTATTATCTTAAGCTGCATATGCCATGACCTGAAAGTCAGTGTGTAACAAGAAATGTTTCCTTAAAGAGTTGAACATAATTTTCTGGAAAATTAACGTAACTAAAATGGATAAATTAGCAGCCAAAGGGGGGGGTTACTTCATTTTTTAAACAATACATATGCTAAAAAGGACAAAATAATTTATATTCATTTTCATGAACTGGATTTATCTGTATTAAGATAAGCTTCTTATTTTATTCTGAATCTTTCTCCTAAGCAAAAAATGTCCAGGGATAATGAATGTATAAAAACTGGAGAGGTCAATCTATCTAAAAATAGTACAGAATTATCTATAATTTTCTCAATTAAAAGGACATTTATTTGTATATAAATATCTTTCTTGTTGAAAGTCATGTACCATACTTTAAAAAAAGTAGAAAAATCAGGACAGAGTTTATTTTCACAGCCAGTTTAAATGATAAATGTTCCTGCAAGCTTGAAGCATTCAGTTATAAGCCCAAATCATATTTCTAATTAATTATTTGGCATTTTTGTAAAATGCATTTTTCTCTAGAATATGGTAGTTTGTATAGGAAAATTTTTTTCACAAATATTTTAGCTGCATTTCCCATGACTTTTATGCGATGAAGTCAAGTTGTTTGATATATTATTAAAATAAACTCATTAGACTTAACTTTCTGGTAGAATTGGTAGGTCAGCTGCTAGGCACGGGTTGTTAAATATAAGAAGTGGTATTGTTAGGACTCATATAATAAGAGGCTTGCCAATTTATAAATAAAAAAATTTCCCCTCCTTCAACAAGGTTAAAGTAAAAGATGTAGGAGCAAACATGACATAGTTTACTGTTAGAGAATTCAGGCAGTGTCTTGACAATAACTCTAATTAAAGTTGCCACTGCTTTGACCTGATTAGACAGAGAACAATAGTACTTCTACTCTTTGTCTACCTTAGGATGGTAAGCAGTGGATGATATATAATATCTTTTGACAGCCACGTTAATTATAACCTAGCTGAATATATTTCTTTAGAGTAGATTCTTTTAAAACAGAAGAAGAGGAAATTGTAGTGAAAGCTGTCGGAATATTTCTGAATATTGCTAATGACTGTATCTAATAGCTAAAAAATGTTAATTTTCTTGAGTTTTTTTCCCCTTATTTTTACAATGTGCCTGACATATTTTCCACAGGTCCACAGGAGCATTTGCATAAGAGCATCTGAATTACCAAAGTAGGTCAAAGCAATGGTCAATCTTTCCCAATAGTAAAATTTTAAGTTTATTTGCTTCTTCTTGATTTGGCAAAGTAAAAAGAAATGCCATCCCTCCATAAGTTAATAAGTTTAGAATTTCTCCGTTCTGGCTTTGTCATGACAGTGCCATGTTGGAATAAGTGTATTTTTTAGGCGAAAACATTAGCAGCTTAACCAGTGAAGAGTAAACACTGATTTCCATTGTAATACCAAACTATGTCACGACTTTGTCATGCTATTTGAAGGAGAATTTTGAGAATTAGTCCCCCCACCAAGTCCCCAGTTCCAACATATATTTAGCACCATAACTCATTTCAAAAAATAACATTGCTTAGAGTACAGGAATTTTTAAGCAACTGAGTATATGCAACACAAATTATGTACATGGCTACATTGATCATGATTTTTCTTTCTAATCAATATTATTTACTGAAGATAATTTGTATGAAACTGTTGGAGCCATCAAGATTTTCAAGTTTTGAGTAAGTCTAAGCTTTCCAGCCAAAATGAGAGTTGGCAATCATTCTGTCTTTTAATTGTAAAAGCTTTATTTATAACCATTTGAAATTTAAGTAAAGTTTCAGTGGTTTTCAATCTCTAATTCTTTTTCATTAATCATCAGGATTAAGTGAGTTGAAGTATATATGTGTGTGTGTATCCCTCTCTCTTTACTGATTTCCCATAGGTCTGCCTTGACCAGATATCAATTGAATGAATTAAAATTAAAATCAGTGAATATTTGCTCACTAACTGTAGTGTGTATGTTCCAAGCTTGGTCATGTGGTGCAATGGACTGAACTGTGCCCCCCTCTCCAATTCATATGTTGAAATCCTAACTCCTAATATGGCTGTATTTGGAGATAGGGCTTTTAGGAGGTAATTCCAGTAAATAACGTCATAAGAGTGAGATTCCAATTTGGTAAAATCTGTGGCCTTACAAGATGAAGAGATGAACAGGCTTTTCTCTCTCTCCCTCTCTGTCATGTAAGGACATAGCCTGAAGGTGGCCATCTGCAAACCAGGAAGAGGGCTCTCACCAGAGCCCAACCATGCTGGCACTCTGATCCCAAATTTCCAGCCTTCAGAACTGTGAAAATTAAATTTCTGTTGTTTCTGCCACCGAATCTGTGGTATTTTGTAACAACAACCCAAGATGATTGATGTATGTGAGGAATAAGGAAATTGGCCTCTGCTCCCAGAATTATGCTAAAGAGAGAATTTTACATACAGTTATTTAGAAAATTCTAAATTCTTACAATAATGTGATACTTCAGCATTAGCATTTTGTAATTAGGTAATACAGTAGTGATAATAGATATACAAGTCCAAATGTAGTTTATGAAGTATTGTAAAGAAAATTTTGGACTTGAAGTCGAAATGTTTCTATTTAAACTTTTTCTTTACATCCACCATAAATACAATAAGAAGTTCAAGTTACTTAAATATTTTGAACTTCTTACTACTTACCTGTGAGATATCGATAATAATTTTTGCTACACTTAATGTCTACTTTAGTGAGGCTTAAGTTCAATGGCATACTGCTTGCAGAATTTATATTTTAATTATAAGGACCTTGTAGTAGGTAGAATTCTAATATGTTCCCAAAGATTTCCCACCCCTGATATAAATGCCCTGCCTAATCCTTAGAACTACAAATATGACTGATTATTTGTGTGATTAAATTATGCTAAATGGCAATCTGACTTTAAGAAAGGGAAACTTTCCAAGGAAGTCTAACCTAATCATACGAGCCCTTTAAAAACAGAGTGTTCTCCAGCTGCTGGTAGAAGAGGAAGTCAGAGATTTGAACTACACAAAGGATTCAATGCTCTGAAGATGGAGGGGTCTGCATAGCAAAAAATCGGAACCTCAGTCCTACAATCACAAGGAATTGAATTCTGGCAACAGCAAAAGTGAACTTGGGAGCAAATGCTCTCCCAGAGCCTTGAGAAAAGAACTGTCTGGCCAACATTTTGATTTTAGTCTTGCGATAATCTGAAGAAAGGACCCAGTCATGCCATTCACGACTCTCACTTACAGAACTGTAATGTCATGAGTGGGTATTATTTTCAGAGTTTATGGTAACTCATTGTATAGCAATAGAAACCTGATTCAGCCCTGTAAAAATAAAAGCACAGCCTTTTATTACTAGAAATACTGTAGTATAGCACACTGGTAGTAAACGAGAACATTAATTATAATTATATAATATATAAATTAACTATGTATTATATAATGTCTATTAATAGGGAAATTTGGGAGGGCTTCATGGTGAAGGTGATGAATATGCCATTTATTTTTAAGTACGGTTTATATTTATCTAGCTGGCTACCTATACTTTATACATGCAAAGCCAATCCCAGTGGAGGCAATATTGTGACCATCTTAAAGAGTAAATAAGAATAGGAAGTTTGAGTAACAGAAAAATTACGCTTGAATTGTAGAAGAGAGTAATGCTGATAAAGACAATTTCTGGCTTAATTTGGGGGAATATACATTAATATGTTTAAGTGCTTGTTAAAAAAATTTGGACTTTATTATGTAGAAAACTAGAAAGATGGGGACAAAAAGGGAAAATATTGTAATAGAATTAACAACATCATCTTGACAATTAGTTATATTATGTGAGTGGGAATAAGGAACTGATTTGGGGGTATTTATTGCATCTGCTCCTGCTCTTGGTCCTTGCATATTTGGTATACTACGGTGGACATTATAGAAATAGGGATATCAGTTGCAATAGAAGTACATAGTCAGGTAAGGCTGACAGCTTTAAAAAAAATCACAAAAACTCTCAGTGGTTAAAATGCTAATAAAGTTTATTTCACACTCATACAATCAGACAGTTATAGAATATTGTGGGTGACTCTATATGCTATAATTCAAGGATAGAAGTTTTTTTTTTTTTTAAATCTTGCAGCTGTTTCATCCCCTAGGGTCTTAGAGATGTTTGCTGGATTTTCTGCATCTAGTTCACGGAGTGACAGTGAGAACTGAAGACTTGGCGGGGGGGAGGAGTTTCTTAATGGTCCAGACCTAGGAGTGGTGTATATTATTTTCACTTGTATTTTATTGGACAAGATTTAGTCAAATGGCCACACCTCACTGCAAATGAGGCTAGGAAATGCCATCTTGCTGTTTTCAGGAAGAAAAGGAAACAAGTTTCAGAAAGTAACTGAAGATTCCACAAAAGAGAAATGTTAATAGAAATGGCAGTTTTATTTTGAAAATGTTGATAATGAATGACCTATTGTAGCATAACTAGGAGGAGTAAGAAGTTGGAAATATGGTCCAGGAAGTATGGGGATTAAATCATAACTAAATAGCAGGATGGTAGACTCTTCTTTGTCATTGTTCAGTTTGTTATATTATAATGAGTATTGAAATTTTGTCAGATTTTAAAATACTATAAAAATATGAAAAAATTAGAAACAAATCTAACAATTTCTGAAAAGGGCAAAAAATGTTCTTTTTTCTTCAGATGTTCTTACATTTAATAAAAGTTTTAGCTTCACTGAATAACAATTTTAAAGGTTTAGAGATTAAAATTAATGAAAGTTCTAGCTTCATTGAATAATAATTTTAAAGGTATAGGAATTAAAATCAATCTTTCATATATTTGTTGTACGGTTCAGATCCTCACAGGATAAACAATAATATCAATTAATTTTTTTTTCTTTTTTTGGAGGAAAGGTAATTAGGTTTATTTATTTACTTATTTTTATTTTAGAGGAGGTACTGGAGATTGAGCCCAGGACCTCATGCGTACTAAGCATGCACTCTACCACTTGAGCTACACCTCCCCCACCAATAATATCAATTTTGAATGTGGTCTGTCTTATGTAATATTAGGTTTGCAATTGAGTTTTCTGAGCATTTGATTATAGCTACCACATGTCAAGACATATAATCACCAATTCAAGCAGTTTAGTTAAGCATTCCTAATCAGATCACCAAAAACAGATTGAAAACACACAGCACATTGTCTCATACAATGAGAAGACAAAAATTACAAAAGGTGTTGATATTATCTGGAATAGTTGGGAAATAGACTCAATTCTGCATATCTAGGATCTGTATAGGTTAGTGGGTTAGTGGGTTAATGGGTAAGGCAGTTGTCTTGAAGCAAAACTCCACATATCCTGAATTTCCTTAATGTTCTTTTTTTTTTTTTTAAACTGGAAGATAGACTTCCCTGAGGGTTCTCTCAGGTGGTAGTATGTGTCTCTCCTACCATCTCTTATGGTCATTTCTGAGTCATTGTTCCACCATCCTCTTTCCTCTTACCATTAGACTATATTCACAATTTGTATACTCTAGTTGTGATTATCCACACATCATAGTTTCCATGTAACACTTCTCCACATCTCCACTTCTCAGTTCTTTGAAAATTTCGGTGACCAGTACACTGATGCTTCCTCCAACACAGCTATCAAAATATTTGCTGATTTAAATTTTTCATGCAGATGATCCTCCCATCATTCTAACCTCTCAGTTCTTTGACCACCTCTCCTTTGCTAATCCACAAGTACCTTAGCCACCCACTCCCATGGTCTTAACCCAGACCTTGTCATTGCTGGTAACTTCCTCATGCACAACCTCAATTTCAAGCATGCCATTCTTTGATCCTTGCTGTTGTAGTTTGGGTTTCATAAGTAAAGACTTTGAGTTAGAAGTTCGTGTGAAGGGGATTTATTACGGAGTACTCTTGAGATCAATAACTGCAAACGGGAACTTAAGGAAACAGGACTACAGAGGAAATGGTTGAGTTGTGATACAGTCTTGAGGGAAGATACAGATGCTTCTGCAGGCAGTTATGAAGATGAAATGACCTTTCAGAGTTGTGCGCCAATTTGGGAGTACAGTCATTGGAAATAGGCTTCCTAAGGCAGGGACATAACCTTTGGTGGGGTGGTCCTCTACAGCTGAGCATATCCCTGAAATGGCTGACAGCTGAAGGCTTCTTTTGACAACCCTCTCAGAAGCTGAGGTCCTTCATCTTTGAAGGGTGATACAGGTGATACACTACAGCACCCAAAACAAGCCACATTTTTCTCACTCAAACCAACTTCTTGCAAATTGTGGGATGAGCTTCTCCTCTAGGACTTTTGTGGATCTTACTTGGGGACAGCCTGAAGGAGGAAGGCTAATAAGAAGCACAGCT